ATTTTCACAATAACAGTTCGTAGAGAGCTTCATGGAATGGGTTTCCATGGCCGAGCAGTTGCATCCAAGCTTTACATCACAAAGTGAAATGCAAAGCATCGGATGCAGTGGTGTAAAGCACACTGCCACTGGACTCTAGAGCAGTGGAGACATGTTCTCTGGAGTGATGAATCACGCTTCTCTGTCTGGCAATCTGATGGACATGTCTGGGTTTGGCGGTTGCCAGGAGTACTTGTCTGACTGCATTGTGCCAAGTGGAAAGTTTGGTGGAGGGGGATTTTGGTTTGGGGTTGTTTTTCAGGGGTTGGGTTTGGCCCCCTAGTTCCAGCGAAGGGAGCTCTTAAGGCGTCATCATACCAAGACATTTTGGACAATATCATGCTCCCAACTTTGTAGGAACAGTTTGGGGATGACCCCTTCCTCTTCCAATATAACTGCGCACCAGTGTACAAAGCAAGGTCCATAAAGACATGAATGAGCGAGTTTGGGGTGGAGGAACTTGACTGGCCTGCACAGAGTCCTGACCTCAACCCAATAGAATACCTTTGGGATGAATTAGAGTGGAGACTGCGAGCCAGGCTTTCTTGTCCGACATCAGTGTCTGACCTCACAAATGCACTTCTGGAAGAATCATCAAACATTCCAATAGACACACTCCTAAACCTTGTGGACAGTCTTCCCAGAAGAGTTGAAGCTGTTATAGCTGCAAAGGGTGGGCCAACCTAATATTGACCCCTATGAACTAAGATTGGGATGCTATTAACGTTCATGTGTGTGTAAAGGCAGGAGTCCCAATACTTTTGGAATATAGTGTACTTACAGTATAAATGTGTGAGTTAGCGAGCGCACCATATAAAGCTGCTAATGCACAAAAAGGAACCACAAAGCCTTTCTAGGAATATAACATAAAAATGGGGTGTGCAGCGCTATACAGATAAAACACACTGTCATAAATATGACAAAATATGACAAAAAGTAAAAAAGGTCCTATAAACTGAATGATAAACAGTCCGAGGTAATATGATATCAGTCCAAATAGGTATATTCCAGTGATGGAGTATATATGACTTCAATCCAAATGGGTATATTCCAGCATCCTAACATGAAGGTGTAGAAAAATTGCCCACTCACCGGAAGTGCAATTTAATGTGCACATAGAAATTCCATGTAGCCGGAGGTCCCGTGAAGGTACAGCCTGATGATACAAGTATCCTCTGGTGGTTAATGGGGTGACGGCTGCCAGAGATGATGGTCTGGACCTATATCCCAAATCCTCCAGCCTGGGTGGACTCCTAAAATGCTGGGCTGAGATGTGGAGGCTCAGTGCCAGGTAATAGAGATGAAAACGCTCATGGTGTAGTATTGTAAAATGTATTTATTTGGGTATAAATCATTATGGTAAACAGTAAACGTACAGGGTGATAGTAACCTATACAAAAATAATGTGAATGAGCTCTTGAATGCACTGACCAGTGGATAAATATGATGGCCACCGGACCTCCTGATCCGGTGGCGTGACATCAAGGCGTGCAGAGGCTCCTCCTAGACACGATTCGTGTAATAACACGTCTCCTGTAGGGGTGATGGCATCACCCCTACAGGACACATGTTATTACACGAAGCGCGTCTAGGAGGAGCCTCTGCACGCCTTGACGTCATACCACCGGATCAGGAGGTCCGGTGGCCATCATATTTATCCACTGGTCAGTGCATTCAAGAGCTCATTCACATTATTTTTGTATAGGTTACTATCACCCTGTACGTTTACTGTTTACCATAATGATTTATACCCAAATAAATACATTTTACAATACTACACCATGAGCGTTTTCATCTCTATTACCTGGCACTGAGCCTCCACATCTCAGCCCAGCATTTTAGGAGTCCACCCAGGCTGGAGGATTTGGGATATAGGTCCAGACCATCATCTCTGGCAGCCGTTACCACATTAACCACCAGAGGATACTTTTATCATCAGGCTGTACCTTCACGGGACCTCCGGCTACATGGAATTTCTATGTGCACATTAAATTGCACTTCCGGTGAGTGGGCAATTTTTCTACACCTTCATGTTAGGATGCTGGAATATACCCATTTGGATTGAAGTCATATATACTCCATCACTGGAATATACCTATTTGGACTGATATCTTATTACCTCGGACTGTTTATCATTCAGTTTATAGGACCTTTTTTACTTTTTTGTCATATTTTGTCATATTTATGACAGTGTGTTTTATCTGTATAGCGCTGCACACCCCATTTTTATGTTATAGTGTACTTACAGTTACACCCAAAAACACATTCCGCTATGCCTCCTAAGTATAGGGATACCACATTTGTGAGACTTTTTTTACAATGTAGATGCATAGCAGCCCAAAATCATCTGGCATCTTCAGGAATTCCATGGACATAAATTATGCATCTAGTTTCATGACTACCTATTACATTTTTGGAGGAATTGGAGCACCAGGACAGTGGAAACACCTATAAAAAGGACAAATTGTGGAGAGTAAACACCCCAAGGTATTTTTTAAGAGGCATGGTGAATCTTTTGAAGACTTCATTTTATTGCCAACAGTTTTTGGAAAATATGTAAAGAAAATTAAAATATTTTTTACACAAAGTTAGCATTTTATTAAGATATTTCTCACACACAGCATAGGCATATTTAGAATTACAACCCAAAACACATGGGAAGTGGTAAACCATGCCCCTTCAAGCTGCTCCCACTGTTAATGCAATTCAGTTACACCCACTGTTTACCTGAGAACAACACGAGCGCCGCATTACTGCTCTGCTTGAGGTGCCCAAAGGTGCCACAGGTCTTTTACAATCCTAGCAACGCAACTGTGGGCAGGAGCTAAAAATATCATTCATATCATCATCAAATATTAGGAAAGCAAAGAAAGATAATTTTTTTTTTCAAACAATAGTGAGTACTAGGAACATAATGTTAATACAAATATTAAAAGCAAATCAGTCATGAAAGATTCCCAGTAAATCACAAAAGTGGTAGCAGAGCCTGAAATGATGAGGAATGCCTCTCTTACACCTCTGACTCGGGGGCTCTTGACAGTGTGAACAGAAGGCGCATGAGTGCCTGTAAGTCTTGCTACTGTAGGTGCAGAGCAGTTGTCCATGCCAGTGATCTTAAGTGAAGCAGATGGGCTGCTAGACTGCTGGTGAGCAGCAGACTTAAGCAGACTGGTACTGGCAATTGTGGGCAGACTATGTCAGGATAGTAAAAACACCCCAAATGCTCCTTTTTCGGAAAGTAGGCACCCTATGGTATTTGATAAGAGGCATGGTGGGTATTTTACAGATCTCATATTTTTCACATGGTTTTTGAAAAATGAAAAAAGAAAAGAAAAAATACATTTTGGTCTTCTTTTGAACACATACATAGGTCGCACACGCATATGTTTGCACCACACGTGTGGTATTGCCGCAAATGATATAGTGAAAGCAATAATTTTAGTTCTAGACCTCCTTTGTAACTCTAAACTGGTAACCTGTAAAATTGTTTAAAGCGTCACCTATGGAGATTTTTTAAGTATCGTAGCTTGTCGCCGTTTCACGAGCGCGCATAATTTAAAGCACGACATATTAGGTATATATTTACTCGGTAAAACATCATCTTTCATATTTACCAAAAATGGGGTAATTTTTTGCATTAAAATTAATTAAAGTGTATTTTTTTTAAATTGTGTTTGAAAAACCACTGCGTAAATATTGTAAAAAATTACAACAAACACCATTTTATTCTCAAGGGCTTCTGCTAGAAAAAAAATAAATATACGTATATATATACAGTATATATATATATATATATATATATATATATATATATATATACAGTGTATATATATATATATATATATATATATATATATATACATACAGATATATATATATATATATATATAGTATATATATATATATATGTCCACAAGGTTTAGGCATATGTCTATGGGAATGTTTGATGATTTTTCCAGAAGAGCATTTTCGAGGTCAGGCACTGATGTTGTTGGACAAGAAGGCCTGACTCACAGTCTCCACTCTAATTCATCCTAAAGGTGTTCTGTCAGGTTGAGGTCAAGACTTTGTGCAGGCCAGTCAAGTTCCTCCACCCAAACTTGCTCATCCATGTCTTTATGGACCTTGCTTTGTGCACTGGTGTGCAGTCATGTTACATAGTTACATAGTTAGTCTGGCTAAAAAAAAAGACAAAAGTCCATCTAGTTCAACCATAAAAAAAAAAAAAGTTATAACCCTATACCCACAGTTGATCCAGAGGAAGACAAAAAACCCCAGCAAAGCATGATCCAATTTGCTCCTGCTAGTCGAAAAATTCCTTCCTGATCCCACAAGAGGCAATCGGATGTTCCCTGGATCAGCTTTACCTATAAATGTTAGTATCCAGTTATATTCTGTGTTTCTAGGAAAGAATTCAGGGCTTTTTTTAAATCAATCCACTGAGCTGGCCAGAACCAACTCTTGAAGGAGTCTATTCCACATTTTCACAGTTCTTACTGTGAACAAACCTTTCCCTATTTGGAGATTAAATCTCTTCTCCTCCAGATGTAAAGAGTGCCCCCTTGTCCTCTGTGATGAACTCTACACGGAGCTCAGTATATGAACCACTGATGTATTTATACATGTTGATCATATCCCCCCTTAATCTCCTCTTCTCAAGAGAGAATAAATTCAGTTCCTCTAATCTTTCCTCATAGCTGAGCTCCTCCATGCCTCTTACCAGTTTGGTTGCCCTTCTCTGTACTTTCTCCAGTTCCCCAATGTTTTATGTGAATTGGTGCCCAAAACTCAACTGCATATTCCAGATGAGGTCTTACTAATGATTTGTACAGGGGCAAAATGATATTTCTCTCTCTGGAGTCTATACCTCTTTTAATACAAGAGAGGATTTTACTCACTTTAGAAACCACAGCTTGGCATTGCATGCCGTTATTAAAGTGTTACCAAACCCAAGACCCTGCATTCACTATATCTGCTCTCCCACAGTACACAGAACATGGAAATGCAATTATTTTAGTAAATATAAACAGCTAAATACCTTTTCTCCTCAGAAGTTAGAACAGTCTTGTGACTTCAGTTGAGCACTGGTTAAAGCTTGCAGGAGGAGTTTTCTCTAGGAGGATGGAAATCCCCTGACCTCTGTCTGGACAGTGTTGATTGGCTTTGTGATGATTACATGCGCTCTCCCCAAGAAAAAAAAAAAACCTCTATAGTAATACACACTAAACTGAGTATGTGCAGAAGAGCACGGGTTCATCAGCGTGGGCATTTGAACAAGAGGAGGGGCAGAGTAGAAAAGAGCAAACAACCTTTTTACGCTTTTTACACGATGCAGACGATTAACCCCTTAGGTTCCACAGTGAGTATAACACGTTTGCTTTACTGTATATACAGACTGATTTTACTGTTGTGGGTTTAGTAACACTTTAAGCTTAAGCAGAACCCCCAGATCCTTCTCCACCATTGATTCCCCCCAGTTGTTCTCCCCCTAGTATGTATAGTGCATGCATATTCCTAGCCCCAAGTGCATAACCTTACATTTATCAACATTAACCCTCATTTGCCACATACACTGCTCAAAAAAATTAAAGGAACAATTTTTTTATCAGAGTATAGCATCAAGTTAATTAAACTCCTGGGATATTGATCTGGTCATTTAAATAGCAGAGGGGGTTGTTAATCAGTTTTAGCTGCTTTGGTGTTAATTAAATTAACAACAGGTGCACTAGATGGGCAACAATGAGACAACCCCCAAAGCAGGAATGGTTTTACAGGTGGATGACACTGACATTTTTTTTTTCCCTACTCATCTTTTCTGACTGTTTTTCATTAGTTTTGCATTTGGTTATTGTCAGTGTCACTATTGGTAGCATGAGACGATACCTGGACCCTACAGGGGTTGCACAGGCAGTCCAACTCCTCCAGGATAGCACATCAATATATGCCATTGCCAGAAGGTTTTCTGTTTCTTCCAGCACAGTTTCAAGAGCATGGAGGAGATTCCAGAGAAAGGCAGTTATTCTAGGAGAGCAGGCCACTGGTGTGATTGTCTCTGACCAAGCAATCAGAAAAAAGACTTAATAAGGGTGGCCTGAGTGCCCGACGTCCTCTAGTTGGCCCTGTGCTCACTGCCTGGCACCATAGAGCTCGATTGGCATTTGCCATTGAACATCAGAATTGGCAAGTCCACCACAGGTGCCTTGTGTTTTTTCACAGATGAAAGCAGGTTCACCCTGAGCACATGTGACAGTGACAGACGTGAAAGGGTCTGGAGAAGCCGTGGAAAATGTTATGCTGCCTGTAACATCATTCAGCATGACCATTTTGGTTGTGGGTCAGTGATGGTCTGGGAAGGTATATCCATGGAGGGACACACAGACCTCTACAAACTAGACAATGACACCCTGACTGCCATTAGGTATCGGGATGAAATCCTTGGACTCATTGTCAGACCCTATGCTGGTACATTGGGTCCTGGGTTCCTCCTGGTGCACTACAATGCGTGGCATCATGTGGCGAGAGTATGCAGGCAGTTCCTGGAGGATGAAAGAATTGATACCATTGAATTGCCCCCATGCTTGCCTGAATCCAAAAGAACACCTCTGGGATATCATGTTTTGGTCCATCCAACGCCACCAGGTTGCACCTCAGACTGTCCAGGAGCTCAGTGATGCCCTGGTCCAGATCTGGGAGGAAAGACCCCAGGACACCATCCGTCATCTCATTAGGAGCATTCCCTGACATTTTCAGGCATGCAAACAAGCACATGGGGGTCATACAAACTACTAGCACCATTTTGAGTTGCTGCAATGAAATTTCAGCAAAATGGACTAGCCTGCTGCATCATTTTTTCACTTTGATTTTCGGGGTGTCTTTGAATTCAGTCCTCTGTAGATTGATCATTTTCATTTCCATCAAACTTGGGGCATCCTTACATTCCTAACACATTACACAGTCCATATCAGTATAGATATTCAGCCTGATATTTGTCCCCATTGATATCTGATGTGTTTTCAAAGTGTTCCTTTAATTATTTTGAGCAGTGTAGTTGCCCAATTAAACAGTGCATTGAAGTTGGCTTGTAAGTTGGAGACATCCTGTAAGGACGTTATTCCACTGCAAAGCTTGGTGTTATCTGCAAAGACTGAAATGATATTTTTATTCCCAGACCCTATATCATTTATAAATATTTTAAAAAGTAAGGGTCCCAACACTGAACCTTGGGGTACACCACTAACAAACCTAGACCATTCAGAGTATGAATCATTAACCACTACTCTCTGCATACAATCTTTTAGACAGTTTTCTATCCATTTACATATGGATTTTTCAAAGCCTGTAAACTTTACCTTACACATTAGCCATGTGTGAGGAACTGTGTCAAACGCTTTTGCAAAGTGCCAGAAAAAAAAGCTGAAGCATAGGAGTGATTCACTCAATGACCACCCTAGGTCCCACATGCTTGGGCATACACTTTTTTTTTAACTGCAGCGTTACAAGTGATGGTGAACGTATTCTGAGAGCAGCACACTGCTCTTGTCAGAAGCAGATCAGTGCTGCAGTTGATTGGTGTTCCTGTAAAGCAAACAACAACTGTTAACAATAACATACAGATGAAGAAATCTCTGGGCAGAAAAAAAAAGAGAAAGAAAAACGATATGCTGAAGCATAGGAGGGATCCACCCACTGAACACATCAGGCCCCTCATGCTTGGGTATATACACATTTTTTTAACTGCAGATGAGAAATCTCCTCCTGCAGTGCTGCCGGCACTTGTTGTGCAGAATTGTGTGCCCTGTACTGTGCTGTGTCATACCCTAGACTAATACTCCACTAGTGTGTGGTAGTGACGGAAGCGGTCCTTGAGACAGAGACCAGGTTGGCCAAGACAGGAGGAAGTTTCATCTCATTCCATGTTTACTACAGACACAGCATCTTTTTTGGAGTGACGTTTGCTTGGGCATACAGATTATTTTAACTGCGGATGAGAAAGCTCCTCCTGCAGCACTGCAAGCACTAATGTATATATTCTGAGAGAAGCACCCTGCTGCTGTCAGAATAAACAGATCAGTGCTACAGTTGATTGGAATTCCTGCAAAGCAAATACCAGTCAACAAGTACACATACTAATGAAATAACTTTAACTCAATAAAACAAAGTTTTTTATTTTTTTTTAACTTTGTTTTTACGTGACATATCGGCATGTATGTCACTCCACTTCCTCAAACTCAATCATTCCAAAACTGAGCTCTTAGTATTCCCTCCAGCCCATGTCCCCTCTCCTGACTTCTCCATCAAGATCAATAACACAACCATCAGTCCCTCCCCTCCTGCCAGGGTGCTAGGTGTAATCCTAGACGTCCATCTGTCCTTTCAGCCCCAAATCCAATCACTGTCCAAATCTTGTAGACTTCACCTCCGCAACATCTCCAAGATACGCCCGTTCTTAACCTCTGAAACTACTAAGCAACTTATTCACTCCCTTGTTATCTCTCACCTTGATTATTGTAACTCACTCCTCATTGACCTACCTAATCGCAGGTTATCCCATCTTCAGTCTACCATGAATGCTGCTGCCAGACTCATCCACCTTACTAACCGTTCCATATCTGCCACCCCTCTCTGCCAATCCCTCCACTGACTTCCCATTGCCCAATGGATAAAATTAAAAACATTAACAACAACATATAAAGCCATTTATAACTCTGCCCCAAATTACATCAACAATCTTGTCTCGAAATATCACCCAAACTGTACTCTCCGCTTCTTGCACGACCTCCTGCTCTCTAGCTCCCTTGTCTCCTCCTCCCATGCTCATCTCCAGAACTTCTCTAGAGCTTCCCCCATCCTCTGGAACTCTCTACCCCAATTTATAAGACTATCGCCTACTCTGCTCACTTTTAGGCGATCTCTGAAAACCTGTCTCTTCAGCCTATCCTGTCCTCAGCTAATAATGGAATCTTCTACTCTTCCTACCATTCAATCCCCCGCAGTTATTACCTTTTGTACCACTAGCCCCTTCCTTTTAGATTGTAAGCTCCAAGGAGCAGGGCCCTCCTAACCTTCTTGCATTGAACTGCATTGTTGCTGTATTGTCTCCCTTTATATTGTAAAGCGCTGATCAAACTGTTGGCGCTATATAAATCCTGTATAATAATAATAATAATAAAGTTTTTAAATAAAGTTTTTTTTTGTAACAACTTTTTAGAAACATAACAGCATTTCCAGCCTTTGATTTTAGCGTCTTTTAACATGTGATAGCCAGTTTCCTGACTACCTAACATCTTTCGAGACCCTTGTACAAAATTGTGTGCCCTAGACTGTGCCGTGCTGTACCCTAGACTAATACTCCCACTTGTGTGTGGTAGCAACAGAAGCGGTCCTTGAGGCAGAGACCAGGTTGGTCAGGACAGGAGGGAGTTTCATTTAATTCCGTGTTTACTTGGGGTACCAGAGAGGCCATCAGGAAAATGCCTTCCTTATGCAACCGGCTAACTGCATCTGGATTTGGGGTTTGGGCCAAAGCACCTTCTGGATACAAAAGGGCTGTGATGATCGCTTCCTAAAATTTTCAGAAGGATCCGCTTCTTCCAGTTGCTTTGTAAATTACAAAAGCATTATATCTAGCCAATTGAAGTTAATATATAGACTTGGACCCTGCTGTATATGAGCATAACTCAGCACTTCAGCTACCTGGCGTCGGGTACAGCTGATCTTAGCAGGGACCTCTCCTCCATCATCTGAGCTACCTGTCAATGTGTCGCTGCTTTCTACAGATTCGTATTCTGAGGTGATTTCTGTCAGAGAGGCTTCCCCTTTCCTCTCATCTGACATGCGCAGAATCCTGCAGGCCTCTTCATTAGAGTAAATTTTTTGGGACATTTTGGGCACTAGTACAAGTACCTAGTGCAACTATGGGAAAAAGAGCTCTTGGCTGTCAGGGACTGCTTTAGAAATAAAATATATCTGCTAGTGCTAGCAGAGATCAGTCCTAATCTTGCTAACACTGCAGTTTTGTGTACAATATATCAGAGATGGCAGTGATCAGAAATTACACTGCACTTGTTGAGGAGGAAGCAGAGGGGTTAAATGCAAACACTGGCAGGTATTGTAGCTGATCCTGCTAACTCTTGATTTTTGGGGACACTATACTAATAGGGACACTAGTATAGATTTGTGAATACCATATGTACCGCACATAAATAGTGCAGAATGATTAAAATAAAACTGGTTTTACACTATGGGATGTCTATTTTTTTGTATACATGCCTATTTTGCCTGTGGAGGAGAGAGTTGGTATTGATACAGCACTTTTGGAGGAACAAGCGGTTACCATTGACAACACTGGATATTGCGACAGTCCCAATAGCACAAACAACCATCCTAGAGATAGGTGGTCATGGGATGACGGTGAGTGTC